CAGTGGTGTCATATGGCAGTATTTAGCTCCAGGCAGCATCTGCCAGGCAGTACACCAAAGTGCTTTTGGCTGTATTGCTCCAAGGAGTGCCTATATCCCTGCCAGAAAGGTACAGAGGCCCTGGTACATATGTACATCACCCAGCCTCCAACTGCTAACACAGCCAACCAGTCGTCTTGGTCTCCTGGGGATGTCACTAGAAAGGTGTCTGGCTATTCCACAGCACCAAAGTAAAGCTCTTATTCTGAACATCCTCTACAGGAGCATTGTAATTCCTGTTGTGTATAGAGGGAACCAAAGAAATCAGAGGCTTAAAGCCATATGATGTAGAGCCACACTCCAACGCAGAGCAGCGCCATGCCTTACCCACTGTCTCAGAGCAGGCCAGCAACAGAGCCACGAGCACTCCCACTGTCAATGGGTGTTAGGAGTGTCCTGCAAAGCATAAGTGTGCTACGATTTGAGCTAAGTCAGAAGTTATTCATGGACCATTGTCAGGGTCAGGTCAGGGAATGGCACAAACTACCAGGTTTTAATATCCCTCTAAAATTCCTTATGGTGGCAAGTCACATTAATATACTAAGCTTTGACTTGGGAACTGCGGGGCAGGTGAAAGGGGAATTAAGTTGGCAGGCCTTATTTTTTTCAGTTTCTAGAAAACTGCTGCCCAAGAGAACGACCCCATAGTCTCCCGCTATGACTGGCTGGCAGCTCCAGAGATGTTCAGGTCAGGAACAGAAGAGGCCCTGGTGGGTCAGGATTGAATTAGCCCAGCACAGCTACGCAGGAAGCTGAAGACCAGAATAGCTGATGTTGTCAAGGACGGGACTATGAGGCAGTAACAGAGCTATATGGAGTCTTGCACAGGTGTAAGTAGGACAGTGGTGGCCACAGGGCTGTGGAAGAGAATCTCATTCAACGTTTTTCTGCATAAAGCTGCAGTGAGGGCACTCTCACTTTCATTAACTGGGATATTTTGGGGATTGCATGTGTGGAAGCAAGCTTAATCAGATAGCATCTCTTACCCAGCCTCCTCTCCTCTTCAACCACGTCACCAAGGTCTTGCGGACAAACTCTCCCAGGCAGTCTACGATGGTGTGAACCATGGCTGGCTGTGCATGCCGCACACAGTCCACTGCCAGCCCAGCTGCCACAGCATAGAGGGACACGACCTTGCCCCATGTTATGCCTACGAGAAGAAGGAAGGTCATTCAGATTTACACATGCACACATAGCTCAGTCTTGAATAATCAAAAGAAACAACGCTCCTTCATTACATGTGCCTACACTGCATGTGTGCAGCTGTGAGTTCAGGTGCAGCCACAGTTCTGCATGCTTTCCACCATGGGGGAGAAGAAATACTAGGGGACCAGGATTGGGGAAAACTCTCCACCCAGAGAAGCAGAATTAAATTATCTGACCCAGGCATGCTTTGTTCCCCTTTCAGCACTGGGTGCACAGCTTTGAAGAAAGCAGCCCAAATGCATCATCAAAATAAATAAGATGTGCACCACCACGGGTTATATCACCATTAACTCTCAGCCATGCACATGCTGCGCAGGAGGCAATTCAATTCAAAGAGTTTGAGCAACCTGGGTTTTTTGTCCCCAGCACAACTCTTAAAAATCCTTAAGACAAAGCATTCCTTTTTTTTCTAGATCAGAGGAGACTGTTCCAATGTGACACACAAAACACATATGAGATAAGCATCTTCAGTCAGTTCTACCATGACACAAGAGCAAAAATGGGAGGCAAAGCTACAAAGTTGAGAGGGTTGGAGTCCTTCTTGACGTAAGGAGTATGCTCCAGTCTTCACCTGAAAAACCATGTAGCTCCAAGAGTTTTGCCACACTGACTTCAATATTTAACATTGCACATCCCACCCCACTGAAGGCAGCGCAGGACAAAGTGTCACTCAGTTTATCTAATCTTCCAGAAAGCAGCCTTCCTTGCTAGGGTGACCTGCCAGCAGCAAACGCTCCATGGAAGTTGTCCCAGCAGCAGACATCTTCCTGGTAGTGCTAGTGATAAGTGCTCAAGCTCAGTTCTGGAAAACAGCCAACCTCCCTGGGTCTCCCCTGCACTTTGCCAACACCACTGGCATAAATCCTCCATGCTTAAACATTGCAGCCAGCAGTGCCTCATCAGGCTTTTATCAGGACCTGTGACCTGGAAATGCAACCCTTCTGCACCCATGCAGAAGAACTACAACAGCACAATGGCACATGGATTTCCTTTGGATCCACTAGGAAGTTGAATTCCCTCCCTTAGTTTATTATCTGGAATAGCAGTATTTGACAAGCATGCTGTGAAGTATTTTACAGTGTTAGGTCCCTATGGAATCTGTCCAAGGTCTTTCCCAAATGCATCCATAAGCCAGGTGAAGTTTTAGTATTTAAAATCCACACAAACTGTTCTTGCTGGGTTGCAACAAGAACGAAAACAGGTGAGAGGAAGGAAAGATTAGTTTAGTCACTAGATCTAAAGGACCAGAAGGGGTTAAGCAGATGATCAGAACACTGGATGTGCTCAGCAATCTATCAGCTAAGAAAGCAAACTCTTAGACACAATTTAAATTACGTGAAGAGTCTGCCTCTTTCCTTCATCGCACCCCTAGATCCCCAGGCATCCCAGCCCATCTCTTTCGGATGGAGCTCCAGACGCCTCATGCCTGTTCACATCACAGCAGAGCTCCCCACATTCCTTTACAACACGTTCAGGTTTCAAAACATTTCCACAATCCCTCCACTTAGTGCCTCAAAAGGGACACTCACGCTAACACTTTCAGCGATGGCTTTTTTTTTTTTTTAATAAAAAAAAGTACCATACTTTAGAGAAACTGTTCAAATGTTAGCCATAAGAATGGCTTGTTAGACTGAAGAAAATCTATTCAGTGTTTAAAAAAAGCTATTTTTCACTCATGACTGATATAAGATCAAAATCTACAGATGATCCTTCTGGGAGGCTCTGTATCAACAATAACAGCAGTAGCTCAGAGTCACCTGTGATACTCTGTCCTTCATGAGCACTATCCCCAAGGTCAGAGGAAGTTATTAATATAGCTAAATTGGCTGTTATTCTGATTTTATTTTCTGAGTAGGCCCTGTGGTATCCCTTCCCCAGAGCTGTCACTCCGGAAGTTTGCTGCCTGTGTGGTATTCACACTATTTATCTGTCTTTCTCACATTGTGTGTCACCATGACAGCGAGCAGAATGAGCCAGGAAGAGGCTATGAAACCACATAAGAAAATACTAGACAGAAGATTAGACAAAGGGTTTCTCCTGGCAAGAAAGAGCCTTTCCTGTTGCAGGTCAATACACCTCCACCCAAGGAAAGAGCCTTTAAGGAGTTACCTCTTGCTGACCGCAATCTCCTGGACTAAAGCCTCAGCTGGCTTATACTCAGCTTTAGCGTACGTCAGTTTTTACAGTTAAGCATCCTTGCAGAAACGTGGCTCCTTGCATCTTGAACTACATGAACCAAAGTTACCCGAAACTCCAGGCAGAGTTCCTGGCTTATTCCCAAGCTTTTACTGACAGTACTCTTTCTTAAGTATTTGAAGCAAGTCCATTAGCTTTGAGATATTTACATGGCAGTAACTAAGATTGACAGGGGGCTGAGACTACCCTGGTAGAGAAAGACAGCTGCAGTCTTGATTAACTTTGTTTTAAACCTGAGTTTCTCTTTCCAACAGGAAAAAAATGCACCAACAACCTATGAAAGATAAAGGCTAAACATATCCATGATTTCTCTAATCCACAGGAAAGAGGTTTGCTCTACAGACATGTCAGTCCAGGGGCTCCTGCTAAGGGGGATGGAGAGAAAATCCTTCACCTCTGGCTTCCCTCACAAGGTTGCTACATAGTGATGCTTGCTGCAGGACTTGCATGAGGTGAACGCTTCCCTAGTACATGGACAAAGCCCCTCTCTCTTTCTCATAGACAGCAGGAAGAGGGCAAGCTGCTGGCTGATGCTTATCATGGTGACGGATGTGAAGGGCTCAGTGGTCACTTCCCATTATGCTTCTCTTTACAGTGCATGCCTGTAAGGGTCGAACCAATCTTTCAGTCTGCTCTTCCTGTTACCAGCAGAGCTGAGCCACGGGAGTGAGAGGGGAGGAAATCCCCTCCCAGTTTCTCTGCATGGAAACTCCTGTTGCCACTGCTGGAGGCAGAAGGTGGAGACAGCCAGCTGGGCTCCTCACCAGAGACAGCAGGGCACAGCTTATGCTTTTGTTGGCACCAGATGTTGTAGGGGAGCCCTGAAGGAAGAGAAGAGCAGACACCTCTAACAGCTGTAGACCAAAGCTGGGCCGTGGCTGTGGCCAGTCCCTCTGCCCCAGGAGGGCTCCAGCAGCCACCCAGCTCCAGGCAGGGCAGGACAGGTGAACGGGCCACAGCAGCCCCCATCTGCACTTATCAGGACAGCAGCTCCGTTAACTTTTCTCTCTGAAGGACTCCCTTGGCAGGGGTAGAGGAGCACAGCCTACTGGGAGGGCAGTGCCTCTGCCCCCTGCGATGTCCAGGCCAGGGTCAGGGTGACACTAGCTTGATGCATGCCTTGGCATAAGCATCTGGCCACTGCATATGAGCAGAGAAGACACATTGTCTTGCTCCAAATTCCTCAAAAGGCCTGGCTGCCATCCACATTGGGGAGACGGATGCCCATCTTCGACTGAGACAATCTATTCACAGCTTCCCACTGTGCAGATCAGCACAGGAGCTAACAAGAGGGAATGGAAAACTGGTCTGGAAAGGAGTGATCAAAACAGAGAAAGTTCTGAAACTCCGGCTCACAGAGATGGAACAAAAGGGCGTGGAAAAAGTGAAAAGCTGCTCAGAAGGCATTTTAAAAAATAAGAAATACCAGTTTCAGACTCAAGGCCAGTCATGGAGCTGAAGGTATGTAAACACTGGCGAGCCCAGGGGAAAATGAATTAGCAGGAGAGAACTGCTCTTGAACGTGTTCCTGCTGCATAGCAGCTTGTCTGCCCTAGGGGAGAGCTCAAGAAGCCATGAGACACAACTGTGCAGAGTCTCATCCAAGGTTACTCAAATAAACTCCCCTCTGCTCCACTCGGCATCAAAGCCTAACTTGCAAATCAGGTCTAAGAGAAACATGATTGAGTGCTACACCTCAACAGCTGGGAGAATACAGCCAGACACGATATACTTTCCTCTGGTGGAGACAAAGAAGCCAAGAAGGATGTGTGCAAGGCAGGAAGCTGAAGTCATAAGACCCTAAGCGATGAGGAAGCAGCGGGATGCATTTCTAACAGCATTTGCTCCTGCTGGGGAAAGTATTTTCTCCCGAGAGCCCATTAACCATGCATCCCTGTTTTTCAGGGTTCACTTCAGCCCAAGAATCTTGATTAAAAACTGACAAGCACCCAAACCAATACAAAACCAGGATAAAAGCTGTTAGAGAGCCCACGTGCCTAGCAGCTCTTACCAACTGGAGGAAACTTTCCTTTAGGAAAGGAAAATGCATCTCCCTTTTCTACTTCTGTTCTTCCACCAAGTGACCCCTTTCGTCTGGGATTTATTTAAACAGCTAATGTAAATGCCAGCTCAGCCAGGCCCCAATCCAAAGCCTGTTAAAGTCGGTGGAAAGTCTCCTGCTGGCTGAAGAGTAGCTTTGGACCACACACCAGAACCAGCGGTATTGTCACAGAGGTGATGCTGCTGCAGATCCTTCAACATCCAAAGCAGGTCAGGGCTCTGCGGTGCCAGTCTCCACACAGATGGGCTCTCCTCGCCTTGAATAACTAACAGGTTGTATGGAAACAGAGAAGAAAAATACAGCTTGAGCCCTATCGTGCTTGTGACCCGCTCACTTTCTGCCTATATTCTCAGCTGTTAATCTTGCTGTAATTTGGATTCAAGCTGTCTTTGCTACACCAGAGAAAAGCCACTCCTGAGATAACTGGAATAGACAATGCTCTGAAGTTGAATATGGCACAATGCACCCATGCACTGGGTCCAACAAGGATGCCAGATGTCCTCAGTCTTGCCTTCTTGACAGGTCCATCTAGGGCTTGTGCTTAGTCAAGGCTTGCAGACAGTGTGATCAGGAAGTGAGCATAGGCATAGCCAGAGCTACAGCATGAAGACTCAAAACCAGACCAGCGCATGGAAGAAGGACATATAAAAGATTAGGGAGAAAAACCTCTCCAGCAAGGTAAGGTCAAAATATCCCACTCCGCTGCTGGAAAGGCACTGTGAGTGGCTAACAGGGCTCCCCAGACTGTCTAGGCACAGCAGTGTCAGACTGTAGCTGTTTTCTTAATAAATGGGATAGTGAAAAACAGGCTGAGATGCTTCAACCATCAGTAATTGGCACGACAACTCAGTCTGCACTTGAGTCTCTGGTTTCCTTTGCTCAATAAGAGCCTCTTTCCTCCAAACTATGAAAAAAAAAAAAAGGAATGAATGTCTGGCTGCTACAGCCAACTGATTTGCTGGATTTAGCATTAAATGCTGAGTCTTGAGACTGCAGTTGGGATCCAGGAATGCTAAAAATCAGCAAACTCCTCCCTCTCTGCCACTCAGCAGCCTTCTAGCAAGAGAAATTGCAATAATGAACTGATAAAAGCAATTGAATACACAACTTCAGCTCCGCGCTCACAGGTTATCCTGTCAGTTGCTCTGAGGCAGAGATGAGAAAAGAAAAAAAAAGAGCATACAGAGCTCTGGAAGGTTTGAATCCAATCCCTGTGCAGCCAGCCAGCTCCCAGCCATTTATGCAGCACAATGTCACCAGACAAGGGGCAGCACTAGCAACAGAGCTTGAGCCTGGGCTTCTACCATGTTCACAAAGTCTCTAGCATTGACAGCCTCAAAGTGCTGAGGCCAGATCCCATTCTTACTACCCTGAAAAACCCAAGTTTAGAACCAAGAGTTACAACTTCTAGCTTTACTTTCAATAAAAATATTTTAAACCATCCACACCTTTTGCTTGACTCCTGAGCTGAGAAGTTGAAGAACACCAAAAAATGCAGCTCTCAATGAAACTGTCAATATACATTGGTGAGAGCAGGACTTCCAGAAGCCAGCAGAGCTTTCTGCCCAACATCATGTTTATGCAGCACAGCAGCGCAGGCGGTCTGCTCCACCTATAGCCATCCACCTTTCTGGCTTAATTCCCTGTGTCACTTCAGCTTTGGAGGTGGGCCAGTTCTGATGTAGTCAGCTATAATAATCTAAGAAGATAACCTACTTATCTGCAACGCAAATACCTGAGCCTGCAAACTTGACCTTCGTTTTTCTGTAAGCCTTGGTGCAAGTAAAGCTCAGCTCTAAGTGACAAGACAGGATACCCGCACTTTGAACACAACCACACT